TATATATATATATATATATATATCGTATCTAATGAGGAAAAAGCACAATGTAATTATTTTTTGTAGCCACATGAGGGCAGTGTTGTTACTTGTTCTAAAAGGCCTTACACAAAGCTACATAAAACGAATAAACAATGGACGCAAATATTGCATTTTGTCTTGAAAAATAAACCTATTTACTCCATGATAACCAAATATTGCAACTGTGTGTTTTCATATTTGAACCTTTTGGTTCCAGAATTGAAGTTTTATTGAATTTTGACACGAGCAAACACTCAATATAAAATTAAAAATCTGACATATCAGCAAAAAACAAATAAATACTTCACATCATTTAGGTTTTATAGAAACATTTAATTTGGAAACACAATCATTTCCTTTATGTACATGCAACAGTATAAATAAAAGCACGTGGATGCCTGATCATTTATATAACAAGCCAAGAATATGTGATGACATTCCATTTGAGACAACCATCTGATGATGACTCATACTTATTTATGAAGTCTTTCACATTACACAACTAGTGCAGGAGAAACTCATCTATTATTGAAAACAATGTGTTGGAAAAGCATTTCATACTATATGCAATGATTATTTAATGCTTTTAGGTGAATTAAAATGGTCCCGGTCGTCTCACTGTCATGCAGACAAAAGCATAATGAAGCTGAGCTGAGAGCTGTGATTGACAGCAGTGTGTGAGCTGTCAGGAGTGGGCGGCTAATCACAGGACAGAGAGGCTGATTGTTATTGGTGTTAGAGACAATTCTAAAATGATTAATTACTCAGATTCTGAATGAAAAAAAAAAAAAGCTTTGGTCATGCAAGCGTTTTAAATCCACTGAATATGTGCACTGGTTGAAAGGAAGGGGCATTCAGGCAGAGGGAATGGGGGCACAAAATGCATTATTCACACCATCCACCAAAGGCAGCGTAAAAACTTCACTGCATGACTAGATACCATGACCTGTGAAGAAAGAGGGGCTTTTAAATGGGAGTTCCAGGCCAAGAGCACAGATTAAACAGTAATATCAACCTGTTAGGACCCTTCAGAAAGGATGACGGCCCCACCATGCTCTTCATCAACCTATTAGACTCAGGCTGGACCAGTACAAATTTGGAAACTCTTCTTTAGTGTGGAAGCAAACATAAAGCTACTCCACACCCAGTAGTCCCCATTGCTTTGTTTTGTTTCTTTTCTGCACCTCCACTCTTATGTAGCTGTTTAGTCAACTTTAAAAATATCAACTGGAAAAGGTGTCAGATGTCATCAAGAGAGTACTTCTAAACAAAATAAGAGAAAATTCAATAATAAAATGTTCACAACTGCTAGTGGTGAAACATTTCTTGTCTAAAAATATAAATGCACTTAGATTTTTTAAATGCACATTCTGTGAAAACCACAATAAAACTGGTTTACCTTTTTTTTACACCAGTATCCCAATTTCAGTGCATTTTTAGTTGGCTTTAAAAAATGTACATAAACACTTTGAGATACATAGACACTAACCCAAATCCTTGAGAATTAATTTATTATTATTATTATTATTATTATTATTATTGGAAGGTTGCGCTTTTAAAATGCTAATGGTGTTCTATGTTCTGGACTCATTTGGTCCCAAAAAAGCATTAAAAATCATGTTCTTAATAAAAACTTTCTATTAGAACAATAGGAAATCATACCATAATGCTACCGCTACAGGTACTGCAGAGACCTGAGTGATTGAAACCGCCCCAGATGTCTTTTAGGACTGCATGATAGCCAGAATCACAATTGTTGATCTCATTGAGATAGACAAGCGTTTAAGGGGGACATATCCTGCAAAATCCACTTTTTTAGCCATTAAAAACATTTTGTTGTGGACTTGGAGGCTCTATGAATGCAGAAAAGTTGAATTTAGTCTCTTCTGGTGCTACAAAAAATTCTTTATTTTCTGTTTAGGTCAAATTTTCCAGCCCATTCCATTTTCTCTATTTTCTATGATATTTTCTGAAATATTATATCAAATTATCTGATGGGACTGCCAAATAAAGTCTGCATTACCAACTAAAATTTGTCATCCTTTTTCTCCTCTGGTTCTGGGTCAGACTCTGGTTCTGGGTCAGACTCTGGCTTCAACATGTGAGGCTGGATGGACAAGTCTTCTGTTGTTGACGTCTTTTAATTGTAAATAAAATCTTTCTGCACCACTAGAAAACGTAACCCCCACCCTCTCAAACCAAAGTGGACCAGTCTGGAAGCAGGAGGGGGGCGGAGCTTGAAATGCCTTAAAGCAACAGTAACAAAACAGCTGCTCTGAGACAAAAAGTGGTGAAAGAGGAGCTGATGAAGTTAGAATGAGAAATTCAGGCCAAAGCATTGCAGTTCCACTTTATGAAGACCCCAACTGACTAATTTAAATGTGAAAAAGAAGGATTTAAAAGTTTGATATGCTTACTTTAAGTCAATGTCATGGTGTTCCACTGTGGATCCAGATGTACCTCAGATGGGGCTGGCAGGTTTTCCAGTACTTTAAAATACTGTCTATGTATGTATGTGTGTACAATGATGTGATAACCAGTCCTGGTTAATTTTTTCTGTATGGAAGCCGTGTCATCCAGTCTGAAGGGACCTCTAGCTGTATTCGTACCATTTGAAAAGTGGGTGTACAATTTTAACAGGTATGCACGACATTTCAGAAACATCGTGTTTTTAACAGTCAACAAATACTGGAGGCAACAACATCAAAACTTCCACTTCAGTTTGGTAGTTAAATACAAGTTGACCAAAAAATCACATTCAGTTATTTGACACTTGACAAACTTGCCACATGCAATGACTCCTTTAGAAAATAAATCAATAAATATTTAAATAAAACAGTAAAAGTTTTCCTACAACATTCAGTTTTCCTCATGTAGCTGTGGTTTGATATTTCTGTGATGTCATGATTCTTTAATCTAACAACTTATTTTGGTGCTGTGGATTATGTTCTGGCCTGAAGCAGCTGTTTGGTCCTGTTATATCCTCACCTCTCATTCCTTGCTGGTTCTCACCATCTTTTTTGAATCTCAATTGATTGATCCTATTATAAGTCAGCTGTGAAAATATTAATAACCAATGAGATGAGGTTAGCAGCTCACATGTTATTTTTTCGTAAATGATTGTTTACTCTGTTATATGCAGATGTGAATCTTTTACTCTCCCACCTGTTTTAAACATGACAAAACATACAAATTGTGACAAATGTGCAAGCAATAGTGCAAATTAAATAAAATTTCTTTCAAAATGACCCCCTGCAGGTTGACTTCACTGCTGTCAATATGAGATGTTTGCTGGTATGTTTGAACAGCAGAATAAATGGGACTTTCTTTACAAAAACCCAAAGGTGATCCAAACTCGCTGTCAACTTTGTAAAGATTTCTTTGCTCTGTTCTGCAGGATTTCTGTCAGTGAGAAGAAAAAAAAAGATTAAATCATAAAAAATGAAAAATCATGCTCTCTCCCCTGAATCTTGTTCTGGAAAGTCCCAGGGACAAACGTCAGCCATTAATGTGCTGCTGAGGACCGCAGGTTTGTAACCACCACGCAGGGACCTCTCTTTCTTCCTGTCCGGTGATTTTTTAGTCTGAGCCGAGCTGCTGTGTGTGTGAGAGTGCTCCGACTCGTGGGAGAACAACTCGGCGTCCCTGGTGGAGCTCCTCCGGCGCTCTGAAACGGGCCCGCTGGCCTCAGACGACTGACTGACCCGCCTCCTCTCTGCCGGCGGCCTGCTGGATGAGTTTCGCCTCTCTCTGTTTTTCTCCCTGGCCTTCTCCTTGTCGGATTTGTGGCCGGATGAGGACGAGCCTTTCCGTTTCCTCTTCTGAGTTGTGGGGCTGTTACAGGTCTTCTCCTGCTTAGGTGAAGGCGGGTCAGTGTATTCCCACGGGCAGATTTCCACCATCAGAGATGGCGGCTGCAGTAGGCTGCCCGTGGACTTGGAGTGGTCCGAATGGAGCCCTTTAGGTTTGCCGTCAGTGGGTGTGACACTTTTCTTCCGCCTGATCCTGTCAGGAGAGATGGAGTTGGAGTCTCCTTCCAGTATGGGCTGCTCATCAAACTCCCAAGGACACACATCCGGTTTCAGAGGGAGAGGCGACTTGGGAGGCCGAGATTTCCGCGAGTCTTTTCCTTCCTCCCGTTCCCCTCCTTTATCTTTGGAGCGACGTTTGTTAGACGGGGACTGCCCAGGTCTCTGTCTCTGCTGGGGCCGACTGGTTTTAGAGGCTCCAGAGCTGCTGGTGCTGCTCCTTCTCTGGCTCGTCTCTACAGGAGCAATGGACACGTGCTTCTGGGTCTTTAAGTCGGTGGGAGTCTGAGCTTCTTCAAGCTCCCAGGGACAAACCTCAGATACATCGTAAAGGTTCCTCCCAGTCTCAGAGCAAATGGATGGCTGGCTACCACTCACCTGTAAAATAAGCAAATCAGAGACTTAATATGGATCAGCAAGAAGATTAAAGGCTGCAGAAAACATTTGAACAAATGATGGAGGAATTTATTTGTATAAATAATTTGTACAATATTGCACCAGACTCTCACTTTTCTTTACAGCTCAGGATGCAGCCAACATTAGATCACAACAATCTAAAACCTTCAGTCTGAAATAAACAATATGCTTGTTGTGTTTAATTGTGAGCGAAATTAATTAAAGACACTCACACTGGTTTTCATGAGGAGTGTTAGAGCTATAAATTTACAAGTAATACTTGTATGAGTATTTTTTGTCTTTAAATTTAGCTGTTAGCGGTAAGTTAGGCAAACAAGAGCCTATGTTGACTGTCGTGGCAAGGTTTACCAAGAATGCAGAAACACGGAATAAATGCACAGAAAGTCTGCGTGTATGGTCGTCAAATGATTTAATCTGAGCAACAACAAACAGAAGTCAATCAGGAAGTCTGTCGGGTTGTGGCTGACTCGTCGGCAGACATCAAGCCAATAATATAACATCATGATAACATCACGTGACAGTTTACAACAAATCACAGTCCGACAAATATGACTGCCTAACCAATACCAGGGCTCTCAGCCCAAAGAGCTACCTTATCAAAAACAAGAGAAGTCGTGCGTTGCTGGAGTCTTAATGTCTGGCGCAAACAGATTAACAGCCGAAAGAAGTTATCATAAGATATTTGAGTACTGGACAGCGTCAAGGTGAAACAGACATAAATAATTAGTCCATAACAATCCCTCCTCTTGAGTAAACAATACTCAAAACCAAATCAAAAAAGGAATAATTATAAAATGTCTGAACACAAATGCAAAAAAAAAAACAACAACAACAAAAAAAAAAACCAACATCAAGTACAAGGAAAATAGTGCAATTTATACGACGACCATGCACGCAGACTTTCTGTGCATTTATTCCAATGTGTTTCTGCATTCTTGGTAAACCTCGCCACGACAGATTTTTGACATCGTCGGCAGCAGGACATTGACATTATTGCGAAATTCAGATTTTATTTTGAAAGTGTTACTTCCTGTTTAGCTTGGATATCTAAAAGAAAAAAAAAGACTGAGAACGATTGCAGAAACATGGATGGATACAGTTTTTTTGACCGTGCTAGCCGTGTATGCTGGAAATAATGTGAAAAAGATGTAGAAAAGGAATCTTGGTTTTCATTTTTGTATTTTTGCTTGTGGACATTTTTTTTAGATAAAGGAAATTTTACACGGTCTGGAACACATCCATTACTTTTCTGAGAGTACTTCAAGAATGACAGATAATGGATCTGGTGCCATAACAAGGAGCAGGAGAGACAAAGCTCCAACACAAACAAGCTAATCAGAGAGCCCCAACCTTAATCAACGTGGTGCCACCATGGGGTCAAAGTTAAAGGCACCTTCTCCTGCATGGAACTGTTTAAAATCATGCTTTAGTATACCAAGCCAGATGTTGATAGTTTTTTTCAATCAAATCTGACGTTCATTTACTGATGAAAAAAAAAAATTCAGCATCCCGAAAGAAAGAACGACGGCTTAGAGGTTAGCGCTGACGCCTCTTTCTGTCTTTCTGTGTGGAGTTTGCATGTTCTCTTCGTGCTTGTGTGGGTTTTCTCTGGGTACTCTGGTTTCCCCCCACACCAAAAACATGTACAATAGGTTGCATTCAGTCTCAGGCCTTGGAATTTGCCTGGTTAAACAACGGTAAATTTAAAAAAGACATAAAAAGGTCAGAGTTGGATGCAATTTGGCCCATGAGCAGAGCAGTGATGATATGGAAATGATTTGCTTTGCAAGGATCTAACACCAGAGGATATAGTGGAGTGGTGCTGTTATCAGGCTGTTGTCAAAACTATAAGTGAAGGTCAAATACTCGCAGAATCATTAAACAGCATTACCAACAAATGATGGAGCTTCATAGGAACCAATCAGGTTGAGTTCCTGTTTTCTGTAATTAGCTTTTAAAACGTATGTTATTAGTAACTTTAATTTGAGGTCCACTAATTCAGTAACCTAATTTACCAATATATTTTACCAATAGTAGTAATGTGTACATGTGTACCTGTTGTTTCATTATGCCCATCTTCAAAGGAGTCTTGGAGTACTCCACTGACTGACTGATGATCATTTTTGGGAAATGTTCTGGTGTTTCATCCACCTCTGACAGCATCCTCTCCTCCTGTCCCCTGTGGCTCTTCTTACTGGCATCCTCCACGCTCTGAGTTTTGTTGGAAAGCCCCGGCATCTTCTCCTTGGCACTGGCGATGACGCTCAGGGACTTCTGCATGATGGAGGTGCGCAGGTGCACGGGTTTCTTCTCGTGGGTCAAGTTGTGAGCGCTGGCTGATTTCCAAAAGAGTGGAACAGACTCGGTGGACTCAGCTGGTTCCAGCCTTGGTGCGGTTCCAGCTGGTTCCAGCTGCTTTTTGAGGTGTCTGCAGCCAATGAGAGAACCCAGAAGAGATCCTTCACCACCAATACCTACAGGAGTTATTTTGTCTCCTGGAATTGACCCAGTTTGGCTTCCGGTTTCTACTTCCTGCTCACAAATGTGGTCATAGCTGAGGGACTTTGTCAGGCCTGTGACTTTGTCCTTCAGGGAGTCATCCCGAGCTTTTCCTGAGGAAAAAGTGGTTTAGTTATTGATGATTGTAAAAGAATCTATTATTCAGATCAGACTTCCCAGGTGGAACTGTGGGCTCACCTTGATGGCTCGGCTCAAATGGGTTTCTTCTCAGCGTGCTGCTTTTGCTGCCGTGCTCACTGCCATCATCTCGGCTACACTGGCGGTGTAAGTGCATGGTCTCTGGGATCTCTGTGATCCGTTTCATCAAGGTGCGGCCCAGTCCTTTCTTTGAGTTGCGTTTCTTCTGAAGGTGAGGATTATTGGCAAGCATCTTCTTCCTCTTGTAGACTTCCAGCTGGGCATACAGCTTCTTCAGCTCATCCTGAAACAAGATGTCTCACTATTAAATCCTATTTAGTTCATTTCTAAGTTCAACTAATAGAACCTGCCTCCTCTACAGTAGGTCACAAAAAGTATTCACCCCATTTGTATTCTTCTTTTGTATTTTTTTATTTGTCTTACAACATGGAATTTAAATGTTTTTTTTTATGACTGTTACACAAAATACTCCAGAATAATAAATCAACACCAGTTCAAATTCTAAACATTAGTGTCTACCACCAAGCAAGAGACAGCATGAAGACCATACAGGTCATAATGGCGCGTCCTTTCAGGCTCTGAGACCATTTCAAAGGTGAGGCTGAGGTAGAGTTTTTTTTATTCCTTCATTTTTTTACAGATAATCTGAAATAAACTTATCTACTTTGTGATACAATGCAAATAAATAAAAAACAATGTAAGCTGTATGAAACACACTGATTTCTGATCAGACACTGCAAAAAATTAGCCATCTAAAAATAAGTTTCAAAAATACTAGAGTATATCTTCTCAAATAATTAATGATAAATAATCTATGAGTGAAGTAAGATAATTGCACTTGGTGAGACTTCTGGAAATAAAGAAAACTTTTCAGCCTAACAAGATTAATAATCCAACATATTCTGCTCTTGCTCAGTAGATCAGTCTCAAAACAAAGTCAAAAATACATTTTAGCTGATATAAGATTGTAAGACTTGGTTAGATGAACAGTTTTTACAGTGTACTGCTCAGAAATATTATAT